GCCCCTTCTTCGGGACGCAGAAGCGATCTGGTGACAGGTAAGTCGCCAGGATCGCTTCTGTTGTAAAGCCGACAGTCAGCTCTACAAGTTTAAATAGACTCCCGGCGGCAAAAGTCGCCGGGAGTCTGTTTAAACAGCCCCGATGCTGGCGACGTACACTGTACGTCGTCAGTCACGAAGGGGTTAAAACAACCTGTATCTAGTTTGTGAAAGCCTTACTGGTAGCAATTAGGACATGTGCAACAGATTCAGGTAGTTCTTATTGCTGTCGCTTCAAGAACCTGTTGCTATAGTTGCAACAAAGAAAAAAAGCAAGAAAACAAAATTGCTCTGATCTGGCATACAGAGAGACATCAGCATTCAAAGTGGGGCATGTATGTGCTGGGAAGCTGTCATGAATGTGACAGCTTCCCGCTCATTGTTTATTTGTTGCTAGGACACAGGCAGCCAGCATCCTAGCAACCAATTATGCATCCCCGGCCCCAATCAGCTGCTCACCAGAAGAATCCTCATTCAGCAGCTGAATGTAAACAAAGGGGCCCGGATGATGGCCGACATCATTACAAGGGTGGGGCTGAGATTGAGTTTCTGGTTGCTAAGAGGCTGTTGGCTGCACAGCCGACAGCCTCTTAACAACCACTGATATGGCAGAGCCTGATGGGGAACTAATCCCTCATCTTCCCCATCAGGCCCACTCTCCTGGTGACTGACAGCAGGCAGTGAGCAGATTCCATAGCTATTAGTCTGCTTTTGGCTATGGAATCTGCCCACTGCTTGCTGTCAATAACTAGCAGAGTGGACCTGATGTGGAACAAGGTCGGTGCCCGCTGTCAGCATCACTGGTTGTTAAGGATTCTAGAGGCTGTGTAGAAACTTAAAGCTAAACTTGAAACCGCACAAGTTAAATAAGCGATCTCTAATTATGACTATATTAGGTGTGGATGCTGGTTAGTGTACAAATCATACTTTGATTGAAGCCAGATAATAGAGACAACACTATATTTCTGGTGCTGTGAGGATGAACTGCTCCTGTGCTATACTTACCCCCTCTCCTCCATTTAAAGGACACCTTACGTTCTGTGAAAACATGGATTTTTGTGAATAGAGAAGAGTAGTAGAGGGGGTGGGTATATGACTGGTATCCTTCACTGTGGCAGCCACAGCTCTTTATCCCCACAGTGCCCGAAGTATAGTGCTGTCTCTAGTATCAGGCTTCCATCAAGGTATGTTTTGTACAGTAAACAGCAGCCATCTGCACCCTGTATAGTCATTATTAGGCCCTATTCACACTTGCTATGTGCGAGAATGCATGCAAAATCACAGTTCAAACAGCAGCATGAGCTTTTTGCCCATTGAGACGAATGGGCTGCCCTATGCGCAACAAACGAACAAAAACACTATACACATTCACACACATAACTTAGAGGGGGGACCTTAGAGATAACTTATTTTTTTTTAAAAATCTATTTTTTAAAGTTAGATTGGGCCAGTATAAGTACAGCTAATGATTTATATGTAACATCTGGAGGACTGCAGGGGATGTTTACATTTGTGTTTGTACTCTGCTA